CTCCCTCTCCCTCTCCCTCTCCCTCTTTCTCTTCCTCTCTTGCCCTGTCTCTATCTCTCTCTCTGTCCTGATCTCCCTCTCTGTCTCTTGCTTCCTTTCTGTTTCTTGCTCCCTCTCTATCTCCTTCTTTTTGTCTCTATCTCCCTCTCTGTCTCTAGCTCTGTGGTGTCTTTCCACCTCCCTCCTTCCCTGTTTTTGTGTTTCTTTCTGTGTGTCTGTGTCTCCCTACCTCACCGTCTCTTTTCCTATCTCTTCTCTCTCTGTCTGTGTGTTTCTGTCTGTCTGTCTTTCTACCTATCTACTGTCCCTCTCCCACCACCTCCCGTGTCTCTCTCTGTTCTCTCTCTCCCCCCTCCCTCCCTCCTTCTCTTTCTCTCTCTCTTTCTGAGTTTCTGTCTGTCCATCTGTCTCTCCCTTCCTCCTGTACACCCTCCCTCACCTTCCCCTCCTAGAACATGTACTTTGCCTAGGAGTTTCCCAGTAGATGCCTCCCCTCCCCCAACTTCCTCTTCTTCTTCCATGGATGCTGTGACTTCAAGGGTGCCCTGTGCCAGCCAGCCCATGGCTGGCTCTCAGCCCCACACCGGTGTGGTGGTGGATGTGTGATATTTATGGAGTCAGCCTCCTGTACCCACACAGAGTTGTTTTATCTCCCGCTCCGTGAGGATCCTGGACCGCTCCCAAGCTTTTGTTCTTAGATGCTTTATCTTTATTGGTTGTGTTTGTACATAAGGGAAAAAAAACACCAAAAAACCCAACTAAATCTCTCCCACTATTTCCAGCACTAGCGCTGGGATACAGAGAAGCTGATGGTTTTGTTTTGAATTTTGCACACGTCTCCTTCAGAATTCTTACATTGTTTTTAATAGTTTTCCCATCTGGATTCTCTTCTTGTTAGTAACATTTCTCCCTTCAGTTATCAAGGTCTGTGTCACTTGAAAATGCTAACCGAGCATCTCCTCTTTTAAATGACGTTCCACCTGATTCTCTCTCTTGTCTCATCATGCCTGATCTCATCTCTTAAATAACAGGGAAGAATAGTGGGGTAAAGAGATTTCCCTCTTTCCCCAACACCAAGAAACCTGCTTTTCCATGTTTTCTTACAAAGTGGATACTCACTGTATCCCGTTTAGAGGAATCTAGTCAGAGTTGGCATATAGAGCCTGGGTGACACACTGGTAAGAAGCTCTGCTGCCATCAGAAAGGCACATGGTTCGAATCCACCAGCTGCTCCAAGGGAGAAAGTTGTACCATCTCCTCCCATGTGACTGGCTGCCTCCGAAAACCTGCTGAAGAGTCAGCTCTGAGTCAGTTCCGTTTCAATAGTGAACAACGGTAACAGTTGGCATCCCTGGTGGTGTAGTGGGTTAAGTGTTGGGCTACTGAACAGAAAGCTGCTAATTTGAACCCACCATCCACTTCCTTAGAATGTCTGGAATACAGACACGGTTTAATCCAGCCATCTCACTATAAGATACTGTTGTCATTTGTGCCATTGAGTTGGAACCAACTCGTAGCTGACCCTCCAAAGGTATTTTCAGAGCCTGTAAATCACATGGAGGAGATTGTCTTTCTCCTGAGGAGCAGCTGGTAGATTTGAACCATGTGCGTTTAGATTGACAGCACAACTGCCACTAAGCCCCCAAAACTCTCTCACTACAAGAGATCTAGCCCCCTAAAATAAGATCTATGATGCAAACTTACACCCCCCACCCCCATGTTTATTGTGCATTATTTACATTAGCAAAGAGTTGGAAACAATCTAAGCATCCATCAACAGATCAAGGGCTAATGAAACTGTGGTACATTCACACAGTAGAGTACTATGCAACACTATTGCACAATGTGGGTGAACCTAGAACAGATCACACTAAGTGACAGATGTCAGCCACGTAAGGACAATTATGGTATAAGACCACTATTACAAAAAGCTGAAGGAAGATTCGAGGAAGCTGGAAGTGTAGTCTGTAAGAGAGCTGAAAGATGAAAGGCCAGGCCTCTGTGGCACTTCCAGGAGGATGCACAATCTCCCGTGCAGCCATCGCCCCTGAAAACCTGCTGGATTGCTTGCTCACAGTCAGGTCCAACTCTGAAGAAGTTGACACACAGATGGAATCAGTCTTTGGGAGGTTAACAGGGATAAGAAGAAGAGGGAAGTAAATATTCATAAATGGATAACTTGAAGGAAAGCTACCATATAATGAGTTTGATTGTTTTGTTGTTGTTGAGTTGGGACTGACTCCTAGCTGACTCTCCTCCAGGTTCTCAGAGAATATAAATTATGTAAAAGGAAACCTTCTGTCTTTCTCCTGTGGAGTAGCTGGTGGATTTGAACTGCCTGCCTTTGTATTGGCAGCACAACTCCTTACCACTCGGCCGCTAGAGCATTTGCTTAGCTATTGCACATAATGAATTATATTATCCAGTTGTAATTAATGTTGTAAAACAAAATGTCTATGAATAAGTGAATGAAAATCCAATATGGTTTGTAGAGTCCCACACAGAAAAGAAAGATTTAAAGTCCTGGAAATCCTAAAGGGGGCGCTATGACTCAGTGGCAGTGGCTTTGAGTTTGCCCCTATTTGCAATGTTTTATCTTTTTAAGAGAATTTTTTTTTCTTATCAATCGCAATGTTTAGGACATTTTAAAAAAAAAAAACAGGCACATGCACTTAACATCATCAGATGCCATTTCAGCATCCCTACAGTCTTGGCTCATTACTGGTCCCTCAATTTGTCACATCCATGGTTTCTGTTTTATTATCTTCACTTCTTTCTTTCCTGAAAGAGCCTGTGACTCTTTGTCCTTTCCCCCCAAGGTTTTGAGGTCTTGGCGTCTGCGTCCCACTACTGGCCACTGGAACACGTTGAAGGGATCCATGAACTTCAGGACACAACTGGAGGTAGAGGCTGGTGGGCGGGCCAAGGGGCCAGCAGGTGCTCAGTGGTGGGGGAGGATGCCATGGGTATGGGGACCAGTGGCTCTCAGGCACCGGGGGGGGGTGTTGTGGACACCAGGAGGAGCGGATGATGCAGCCACTGCATCGGAGACAATGGACACGGATAGCTAAAGGAGGGGCTGTCTCCTCACAGCCATTGCAAATGTTTCCTTAGAACTCTAGATACTTTTATGATCGAGAGGCACAATTTACAGTTCCAATCGTAAGGCTCATTTTTTAAAAAAGAATATATAATCTCATCTTCTTTTCTCCTGGCCTTTATCTTTAAAGACTTTGAAAAGGATCCTTTCACCTGGTGGAAATGAGTTGGTGAAAAAGCTCATTATTTAAAGACACAAATATAAAACAAAATTAAAATTGAGGTGTTATTTCCAGCAAGAACCAGAACCACTGTCAGCATCCGCCTCTTCTTAAGCGACTCTAATGATGGTAAATTAAAGGTGTAGATTGCAACAGGAACTCCCCACAGAACCAGCAACGATGAAAACACTCCATGTTTTAGAGAGGTTTTTCTTTCAAACACGGTAGCCTTTCATGAGAAGATAAAATGACTCCAATGCGACTGCTTTGCAGTGAATTTTGTTCACTCAATGGATTGTCTCCCAGTAAAGCCTTAATATATCTGTGTTTGGGCCGAAACTCCTGAGTGCTCGAGGCCTGGCTGCATTGCCTGTCAGATCTATTCTTCACATTCCGGGGAAATGCTGGCGTCTTTCAATCTGATTACAGGCTTCTTAAGAAAAGAGAAAGTAGAGAATCCATCAGCCTGTTTTGCTACTGGGGACAGCGGAATGGCTCTGGAATCCATTCGTGGTGTGCAACTTTGTTATTTGTCGCTGATTTCTCTGCCATGTTGTGCATCCATCACAATTCATGTCATTGTTTCCACCTGTGTCTCTGTCCCATCAGCTCTGTGACACCATCGCCATCCATCATCTGTCGGCTGTTCTAAGGCTGAGTTCAATTTCATATCTCTCAACTCCAGTATTCACACAGGCAACGTCAGCAGATCAGGCCAATTGTGGGTGACCAGAGGCAGCAGGAGGCAGGCTGTCTGGTTACTGTGGTCCAGAACCATGGAGTTGGCAGTAATGTTGAGTTGAAAATGGGAGATGAGACCAGGAGATGTAAAACCCCAATACGGTCCTGGGGTGGAATGGATGCGAATTCCTGGTGAATTGGGTTGAGAGATCTGCTGTTTCCATGTGTGTTTTTCCATTGTTATGCTCCAGGTTATAGTAATGGCTATAATGCTGAGTGGAGGGCTGGGGAGGTGGGACCAGGAGATGAAAATCCAAGACGGTGCAGGGGTGGAATGGACGCATCCTGGTGAGTTGGGTTGAGAGATCTGCTGTTTCCATGTGTGTTGTGTTTCACTCATTGCTGTGCTTTCTTTTTGTTGTCCTGTCCAGCCTCCCGCGCCCACAACCTCACTGTGTCCTCTTCCCATAACTCCACCTTTGTGTATGCCAATGACCCCGCCTACACTAACTCCTCAGCAACAGTAGGTGAGCACCCCACGTGGGGGTTTGGACTTCTGACCGTGGGGAGCTGCGAGCTGCGGCAATTTCAAAGGCTACCCCAAACTGCTTCTAGACAAATCCACCTTCTCAGCTAGCAAATGAGCAAACAGCCAAGATAAGAACAGGTCCAGGGATTGAAAATCACCCCTTGGGGTTCAGAGTAAAAGGAAGGCTCAGAGGTCACCATCGATTGAAAGGTGTGTCTCGTCTTTCAAGTCCCCGGGACATTCCGAGCCAGCTGCTTCCAGAAGAAAACTGGCCAAAGAGGAGATCTCATCTAAAAATAGCAGTTTAAGTTGTTAAATGAATTCTGCTCTTCGTTGGGGGTTGGGGGTTGGGGGAGAGGAACTGCATGGCCTTACAATGGAAAATTAGAGTTGATTTAAAAATGCTTTATCAAAAGTAGAATTTCTTACAAGCATTGGAGTCAGCAGTTCTGTAGCTGGAATTCTGTGCTCATGTAAATCATTAGAGGCTGTTTTATAAAACACACACCCACAAGAGTCAGGGTTAAGTTATTGTCTTATTTCATATCCTTGGGGCCCTGGTGTTAGCAAATTCCTGCAGCGTGGGGTGAGGGAGGCCCGCCCTGTGTGATCACCCCAGGCCTTTCCCAGCACGACCTCGCCACGCTCTCGAGTGCCAGGCCTTGCTTCCCAAAGCCCTTTTGTTCCCAAGCCAGCAGTCTGCTTCGGGAGTTTCCAAATTCTAACGTGATGACGCAGCTGCTAGTTCCCCATCTCACTAATGAGAGAGGAACGAAATGAAATCAGGTCAGAAACAGCTACGGGCAGTGTCCAGTCGGCCCTGGAGTCTGGTTATCCGGACATGGGCGTGGGGCACCTGGGTCGAACTAGGCTCCAGGAGCCCTCTGTCTATTTGTCCATCTGTGAAAGGCCACGAGGACCCCAAGTGTTTCCCCTCACGGGGGAAGTGTCCAAGGACTTGACCCGGGCTGACAATGCACACCTCACACACCCTGCACCGCAGATAGCCAGTTAGTTACCTCTTGGCCATGTGGTCATATGCTCCCATCCAGGGGACTTTCTGGACACAGCAGTGGATGGAGCTTCTCAGGTAGGGCTCTTGGGAAAAGCAGATTTGCCCCTCTCCTGTGATCCCAGACTGGGTCTTCTGAAACCTCAGGTCCCCATGTCTGCAACTGGAGGCATTAAATGAGAATGCAGAGAGAGTTCAGTTGTTATTTTAGGTCCCCACTTTCACCTGAACCTTTTACTTGGAAGGTTTATCGTGAGAACGGTAGGAGAGTCTCACAGAGGTGGAATCAGAGTTTAGGAGAAAGCATGTGGTCCCCTTTCCGTAACCCACCTACGGGCAAATGGAACTGCTATGACATCAGTTCCCTATTTTTGTCCAAGTGATGCTGGTGTTCTATGTTTTGGTTATTTGTTGTTGGGTTTTTTAATTCTTTTTTGCCAACCATGCCCTCCTCCTTGATCCACCCCATGTTTCTGTAAGCATATTATACTAATGCTTCATATGCTGCAGTGAAAAATTGGTATAGTATGTTTACAAAAATACCTGGGGCTTTGAGTTGGCAAAAACATACACCATGCACATTATTTTAACATATACACCACACATTATTTAACCATGTACATGCACATTATTTAAACATATGTTGTTGTTGATTGCCTTCAAGTTGAGCACGACTCATGGCGACCCTATCAACAAAAGGCCTGAAGCCCCTCTACAGCTATCGACATTTATCAAAGTTCATATAACATGTACCGTGCACGTTATTTGCGTAAAAAAGTGTACTGCTATGAAGGTGATTCCGACCCACAGTGACCCTCCACCAGGTATCCAAGGCTGTCAACCTTTATGGGAAGACACTGCTCATTTTTCGTCCACCGAGTGGCTGGTAGATTCAAACCGGTGATCTTTTGATTATCAGTCTGTTATGTACTATGCCATCAAAATACCTAAAAAAATGCAGTCACCGTAGTTTATTAATTATGTATAATTAGTGAAACAGAGGACTGTATTATTAACATATAGCTAATATAGATTATGGGTGTGATGAACTTAGCACTTAACAAGCTTGGCTGCTAACCAAAAGTTCACTGGTTTGAACCCGTCACTTGGTTTTCAGGAGAAGGTGAGGCGGTCTGTTTGTGTAAAGGTGTGCCGCCTTGGAGATGCTCTGGTCTCCTCTGTCCTACAAGGGCCACCTTGAACCAGAATCAAGCGGAGGGCATGAGGCTTGGGGGTGATGATAATGTTTGCACATCATTTCAGATAAATAGATTGTATATTCTAAGCTTGCTGTGAGTTGTGACTGTTATCACAAGCGTAACCAGCAGTCAGGGCTGTAACAGGCAAGGCTGCGGGTGAGGCCGCACTGTGTGTGTTTCCTCTCCCACGCTGGCAGCCACGTGACTTTGTGCCTCTTGTCGCAGACATCGTGGAAGGCAAGGTGAACAAAGGCATTTACCTCCGGGAGGAGAAGGGTGTCACACTCCTCTACTATGGAAGCTACAAGAACTCCTGCATCAGCAGCCCCGCCCAGTGTGGCCCAGAAGGTGAGCATGGCTGGTGCTGTCGGGGCTTCCAGGAGGGCAGGCGAGGGGCTTCCAGGGAGGGGGTCTCAGAGTGTGAGTCGGGGCAGGGCTGAGGGGGAGGATGTGGCCACTGGAACACCACTGACTCCATGAAGGAAGAATGGGAAAGAGTCAGACAGAAGGGGAACATCAAAACACAGTGGTCTCGGTTATCTGGTGCTGCCAGTCAAGAAAAACCACAAGGGGGGGGGGGGCTTTCGCAGACAGAGAAAAAGTGAGCTCGCTGATGGTGTGGAGGCTGGGAGTCCAGATCCAGGCGTCACTTCGGGGGAGAGGCCTTCGCCTCTGTCAGTTCTAGGGGAAGATCCTTGTTACCTTTCAGCATCTGTGGGCCTGGCATTCCTTGGAGGGCTCCTGTGTCTTGACATAAATTTCCCCTGGTTTTAGAAGGTTCTCAGAGCAGAAGCCCAGGGTCTCTGGGGCAGGCCCTGCCCCTAGCTCTTTTTTTCTTGGTGGTAGGAGGGTCCTAGAATCTCTGCTTGCTTGTCTAATCCTTTTAATATCTTAGAAGAGATGGATTCAAGATATAAGCCAGTTGTGTAGATTGTAATAGTATATATGAGTCTGTGTGTGCGCGCCTGTGTTTGCGTGTGTGAGCAGTTACTTGCCCTCTAGCTCCTGAACTTGAGACAAGGCCGTCTCTGGAAATGCTGAGCATTTGCTGAGAAGTCTGCCTCACAAAGTGCCTCCCATTCCCTTGTTACTGTGTTGTTGTTGTTGAGTGTCATCAAGTCTGAACCATCCCATAGGTGACCCTCCAGCCGATTTTCAGAGGCTGTCAGTCACACAGGAGGAGATTGCCCATCTTTCTCCTGCAGAGTGGCTGGTAGATTCAAACCTCATGGCTTGGGGATTGCAGCACAGCTTCTTACCACTAGGCTGCCATAGCATCCTGGTTAAACTTTCCAAAAAAGGTGAGGAGTGGGGACGGTGAGCTTTCTCTGTGGGTGTCTCCCGTCCCACCACTGGCTTGTGTGTGTGTGTGTGTGTGACTGCCATCCGCTTCCTGCAGGTCCTTTGTGAGAGGGGTAGAACTGTCAGTGTTTACAACCTGACAGGAAAAAAAAATCACACTCCCCGAGTGGTCTCTGTAGGAACGCAAGGCATTGAGAGATGCACTAGCTCTTTCCCTCATGCCTGGAGCCAGCTGGGACTTCTCAGCGGAGGCCAGAGCTGAGATCAATCTCCGTTTGTTCTGAGTGAGCCTCAGGCGGCATCCACACTCTGTGCTCTGCGTCCCTCTGAGTGGCGGTGGTACCATGCTGGCCTTGACAGCTCCCTTCCTGGGAGGCTGGCCTTCCGTGCTGGCCTTCACCGCTGAGACCCTGGAAGCCGTGGATAATGACACTGTTTGGGACCTGGCAAGCTGCTCCCATAGAGACCACAGCCCTGGACACCCTGTGGGGCAGTTCTGTCCTGTCCCATGAGGCTGCCATGAGTTGGAATTAACTGGACAGCTCTCAACAACTGTGACACCTTTCCTTAGCTGTCCTCCATCTGCAGGCAGCCGACTACTGTCCTGGCAGGGTGACACTCTGCCCACTCTAACAGCAAAGGGGACCCCCCCTTCCACACTGACCACAGGCCACCTGTCCACTTCACAGCCACCAGCAGCATCACCCTCGGACCCCAGAACCATTGTTGCTAGTTTCCTCTGGCAGTTGGGGCAGCCAGATGATAGACCGTACCCCATTCCTGGTTTCCCGCACCCCCCCCCCGCCCCCAGTGGCCTGCACGACTGAAGGATGGTCCAGCCCTGCCCCCATCTGTGCTTTCATTTTTCTTTTCTTCCTGGGCAGCAGGCTGGCTGGCCACATGGGACCGTTTGGAATCGAGTGAGCAGCACAGCTCTTGGCAACAGTGTCTTCCACGGATCCCGCAGGAGCTGGTTTCATAACAAACATTGTGCAATGTGCTGTGCTCACTCCTGAGGGGGCGTGGGGGGAGCTGAGGTTCGTCCTGTACTCTGAACCCCCCCTGAACTCAGGGAGGGGACTTATAGGGGCTGGGGCTTTTCCTGGACTCTGAGACCCCAGAACTCAGGGAAGGGGGCATGGAGGAAGCCGGGGCTCATCTTGGACTCTGAGCCCTGGATCTCAGGGAGATAGATATGGTGGTGGCTGGGGTTTGTCCTGGATTTTGCAACCTCAGAACTTGGAAAAGGGGCATGGCATGACCTTGGCCTCAGAGCCTCCTGCCCTGCTGCCTTTGCCCCAAGATCCAGGGTTTGAGGCCACTATCTTCTCACTGGCTGGGGCCTTGGACAGTCCCTGGGGTCTGTCTGAAGTCCCACTCGCTCCTTGTGGTGACATCACAGGACACATGCGAGGGCTCAGGAATGCTCACGTACCCCACGCAGGAGCCCTGGTGGTGTGCTGTGCCCACTGCCGACTGAAAGGTCAACGGTCTGAACCCATCAGCCACTCCGCGTTAGCCAGGGACCATCTGCTGCCACACAGATCTCAACATTGGAGCCCTGTGGGCAAGGGAACATCAACCCCACTCAGGTTTCATACACATGGGGACTGTGTCACCCTACACAGGGCTGTGTCCCTGTGGTTATCACAGGCCCCCATGAACTCTATATAGGCCCACATCCCTGTGGTCATCATAGATCCTCACAGGACCTGTAACATCTGTCCTTGGACATGCTGAGGGTGGTGACATTCAGGCTAGTCTTCTCCACGGGTCTTGTCCTCCAGCCAGTGTCTGTCCCCGATGCAGCCTAGGACCTGCTCAGGGGTGGTAGATAGGTAGGGTGATTCTGATGAGGATAAGAGGAACCTTGGTGGTGTGGTGATCAAAGCGCCAGTGGTTCAAGCCCAGCCGCTGCTCTGTGGAAGGCTGTGACATCCTCACCTCTGGGGCAGGTCTCCTTGGGAAATGATGACAGCCAGCTCACCTGTGGGCGGATCTCCTTGGGAGATGATGACAGCTCACCTGTGGGCAGCTGTCTGTCCTGAAGGGCTTAATGACTGCCATGGGACCATGACCATAACCATGACCAGCGCTGTTTTGAGATGAGAATATTCATCACTTTTACCTTGAGAGCAAAGGGGACTCCTTGGGGTTGTGGTGACTGACCAGTGTCCTCCTCTCCACAGGGGTCACCTTCTCTTTTTTCTGGAAGAAACAAGGAGAGCACTCCAGGCCCACGGCCTCTGCCTACGGGGGACAGGTCATCTCCAACGGGTTCAAGGTCTGCTCCCGAGGCGGCGAGGGCTCTGTGGAGCTGTACACGCGGGAGAACTCCATGACGTGGGCGGCCACCTTCAGTCCCCCAGGTGGGTGCACGCTGACCGTAGGCTCTGCTGGGGGGGGGGGTAAGAGCTCTCATCACTGGGGAGGGGGTGTGTCCACAGGGTCAGTTAGCCAACAGCAACATCTGCCCATGCCCTGCACAGCCTCACCCCCGCCCCCCGCCCCACATCTGAGAGCCGGGGAACTGTGGGAGGTGCTACAGATGTTTATGGGAGCACATGCCTTCATCTTTCTCCCACGAAACAGCTGGTGGATTCAAATTGCCAACCTGTCAGATAGTAGCACAAAGCTTAACCCACAGCGCTATCAGGACACCTTTAATAGCACAGAGCAAACATAAACTCACATGCATCAAGACACCCCAAAATCCCTGTGACCCACTATGTTGTGATAGGAGCTGTGTTGCCATGGTCTGAAACAAACCCCACAAGGCTTCTGAGCTCGGCCTGTGTTTGAACTGACATCCTTGCTCTTTTGCAAGCCGTAGTGGTCCTGGACAGCAGATTTTGCCCCTGCCACATGTCTTTGGATTTCTTGACTGCTAATCTGTCGTGCTGTTGTTGCCTGTCGGTCCAGGGGTGGAGACTTTTGTGTTCTCTTGAAGCAAAAATTGTGAAACTCTGTCTCTCACACTCTGAGTATGTTGTCGGGAAGGGTCTGTCCTGAGGAGGAGGCGTTATGTTTGCAGAGAAGAGGAAGACCCTCAAAAAGACGATCATCACAACAGTGGGACTGTGCGTGGCGGAGAGTGTGGTCCCCGATGGTGCTGGGCCCACATTCTGCTCTCCGGGGCCTCTGTGTGGACTGCCGGTGCCCTCACCTCCACGCGTGAGGACATGCCCAACGTGGAGGTTCGTGGTGGTCTGCACACCTGCTGTCCCCTCGGCCCCCATGACCTCCTCCTCTACACTGGGCTGTCTGCACCTGTGCTCTCTCTTATCACGTTCCTCCAGGCAGGAGGGGTTGTGTAAGAGTCTTATCTCCCTGCCCGTTGGTGCTGGCAACCCAGACTCTGTACTGCACACCTGGGAGGGAGGGTCATGGGCAAGTTTGGGGTGAATGTCAACTGGCCACAGGCAGCCTTCCCAGTCCAGTCCCAGGGAGAATCAGGTCCATTTTTGCCTGTTCTTTGTGGGTTCGTCTTCCTTGGGCAGACGTGTCAAGCTCCAGCACCACCATCATCCTCCAGGCTTGTGTAGGATTTCAGGGCTCCCCAGAGGGTTGTCAGCATTATGAAAAGATTGTGCAACAAGCCTTGAGGTCACTGCTGTGATCCGAGGTGACTGTGGGCTGGGGCAAGGAGTGTCCCCCAGGGCTGCCTGCTTCTTACAGCCGTGACTCTGTCCTCAACACCCTCCTAACACAGACGCTTGTAGAACACAGTGGGACCCCATGTGGGGGAAGCGGCTGTGGAGCCTGGAGGACGACGTTCCTCCTGCTGAGAACCGTTCTCGTGACAGAGAAGAGCAACCGTGCTCTCCCGGGACTCCGGGGCAAATTGGGGGGCTGATTACACCTGCACCGCCATGCCAGCCCACCTCACCTCATGCCCATGACCACAGAGGTCAGCGCTGCTGCTCAGGGCCAATTCCCATCCTGGTGCACTTGCAAGTCAGCCTTGGCTTATTACACTGTGCAGATATTGCATTATTATTTTTTAAAATTTCATTTTAATAATTTTAATGAACATTTACAGAGATTTTGGATTTCCATTCATTCATTGTTGCAATTTTCTCACTGCCCAGCATCCCCCCGACCCCTGTTTGCTCCTTTCTTTGAAAAAGTAAGAGGAAAATTCTTTCTTTGATATACAATGCCCCCGCACCCCTCCCACCACCCAGGTACACTCCACTGTGCAACCTTAATTCTGGACTCTTGTGATAACTATAATACCCTATCATATATTGCTTTTAAATTATTCTCTCCATCTGTTTCAATGCAGTATACATAATTTATCCAGTTTTTCTCACTTATACCCCAACCCTGATATCAGTCCCATTCTGCAACAGTGACACCATGCAATATTTGTCCTTTTGCGACTGAGATATTTCACTCAGCATAATGTCCTCCAGGGTTACCCATTTTGAATAATATTGCATGAGTTCCTTGTTTTTCAATCCAGTGTAGTATTCCATTGTGTGAATATACCACAGCTTCTCTATCCATTCGTTTGTTGATGGGCACTTAGATTGTTTCCAGCTCCTTGCTATTGTAAACAAAGCTGCAATAAACATGGGTGTGCATATATCTGCTTGGATGTCAGTATGGTCTCTTTGGGGTATATTCCCAGTAGTGGAATTGCTGGGTCAAATGATATCTCTATTTGCAACTTTTTGAGAAAGCGCCACACCGCCTTCCACAGTGGTTGTACCATTTTACACTCCCACTAACAGTGAATAAGGGTTCCAGTTTCTCCACAGCCTCGCCAGCATTGGTTGTTTGCTGTTCTGTTAAATTTTACTATTCTTACTGGGGTGAGATGATATCTCATAGTTGTTTTGATTTGCATCTCTCTTAGAGCTAGGGATTTTGAGCATTTCTTCATGTGCTTGTTGGCCATCTGAATGTCTTCTTTGGTGAAGTGTCTGTGCCCATTTTTCAATTGGATTATTTACCTTTATCTTGTTGAGGTGCTCAAGTATTTTCTAAATTCTAGATATAAGTCCCTTATCTGACATGTCATTCCCAAATACTTTTCCCAGTCTGTGGCTTCCCTTTTTACCCTGTTGGAGAAGTTTTTGGATGTGCACAGGGATTTGATTCTCAGAAGGTCCCATTCATCTATTTTTTCTTCTCCTGGCTGTAGATGCATTATTATTTTTTAAAGAAAGGTAGTTTATTCTGGCATGCTGCACAAAAGGGTAAAGAGTGGGAAAATCAGGACAAGCTGGCAGGATGGCCACTCCCGAGACACCAGGTAGTTGCATCCTTCAGAAAGATTTATACAAGTTACAATATTGCAGCTTCCTTGACATCAAGGAGCTAAAGGGGTCCTCAGACATCTGCTTTCTGGTTTCCTCGATAAGCGAGACCCTTTGATAGCTTTTGCATGACTTTTTTAAACACGTGGAGGCTTTGTGACAGCCCTGCGTCCAGGAAGCAGCGGCAGAATGCGTTCCATGCCTGGCTGCGAGCTGAATGGCCCCAGGGGACGAAGAAGGGCCGCCTGCTCTGGTGCGGGGTACAGGTTGGAGGCTGATTGATGAGGGTCTTCTCCCCACGTTGGCAGTAAACCTGGTTTCTATTTGCTCGGCTGTGCACGTGTGTTACTGGGTGTAACTTTGTTTTTGTGTACTTCTGTGTGTGTGTGTTGTTTTGTAGGTATGTTATTTTGTAGGTGTCTTTGTGTGTGTGTGTGTGTGTGAGAGAGAGAGAGAGAGAGAGAGATTTTTGTGTATTTTGGCTGCATCGAGCCATCTCCCCACCCCCCAGCGGCACACGCTCACTTCATGTCCCTGTGTCCCATTTTTGTCGTCCTCACGAGATCTGACATTTCCATTCTGTGATTGCACATGACTTAGACGAAAGGGTAGCCTCAACGTGACTTTTCTCTACCCGGGGAAACCAGGCCATGTGTGTCAATGGCTTGGTCGCGACCCTCTCCATAAGGCAGGAGTCTGGAATGAATGGCAGGGACCCCGAGTCTGTGGGTAGTGTCCCCCACTGTGATGGCTCCCAGAGGGCTTTGCATGTTTCTGAGTGGGTTTGAACTTAGTTATGGTTTCATCTTAAAGTGAAGAGCTTCTAGCTTCTTGCAGGTGCTAAGGAGAAGGGACATGGCTTCTTGTCTTATGGAGTCTCTGGTCCCAGAACTGTGGGTGCAGGGGGTCCACACACACCCACGCTCACACAGTGGTCCCCTCCCTTCCAGGCCCCTACTGGACACATGTGCTGTTCACGTGGAAGTTCAAGGAGGGCCTGAAGGTCTACGTCAACGGGACGCTGAGCACCTCAGACCCCAGCGGGAAGGTGGCTCACACCTACGGGGACTCCAACGCCAACCTGGTCATCGGGACTGAGCAGGACGCGTCCCGGCGCTACGAGAACGGTGCCTTCGACGAGTTCATCATCTGGGAGCGGGCACTGACCCCACACGAGGTGGCCATGTACTTCACGGCAGCCGTCGGTCAGTGCAGGCGGGGCGGGGACAGGGCAGGGGCGGATGAGGTGGGGGATCGGGACAAGGGCTGGGGTGAGGGATGCGAACAGGGCATGAGGCGGCCGTGTACGTCACAGCAGCTGTTGGTCAGTACTGGCGTGTACTTCATGCTTCAGGGTGGACAGAGCTGCCCTGGTGGACCTGGTCCACCCTCTCTGGAGTGTTGAGCAGTATCCTCTGTCACCTCAGGGCTCTGAGGAGGGACTGTCCCCTCTGAAAGGCAAACGAGGGCTTTGGGGCTTTGGGGCTCCAGGACTCCCAGTTCCCTCCATCATCATGCACATGTCCCACATGGGGGGCCTGAGGGAGCCGCTGCACTGAGCCCCCCGAGGTGATGTGGTCATTTCCTCAGGTCACTCGACATTACCCTGAGGGTCTTTCCGAAGCAGACACGGGCATCCCCTAGGCTATGTGCTCCCTGCAAACACCAGGGTGGGAACTGTAGGGGTGAACAGGAAGAAGCTGGCCTCAGCTCTGGGCTCCGAGGCCGCCATCACTGGGGCTTGTCCATGACTGACTGTGTGAGGTCTTGAACCTGCCCACTTGGGCTTGAAGCCCGCTTCAGCTGCCTGGTTTTGTTTAAGCCTCTCTTTGCTTGTTTTTCTCACCCAGATGGGGGTAGAGGCTCAAGGAGTGATGCCAGTTCTCGCTTCCTCCTCAGGCTGTCCGGCCACCCTGCCCATCCTCCGAGGGCAGCCACACTCCACATCTTACCCCACGGGTCTCGAGGCACCTGACCCCTCCTGTTTCAACCTCTCTGTTTACCTGAGATTGGTGGACACTGGCCAAAAGCCATCATTTCACATGGCACCGTGTGTGAGGGGGGCTGAGGACAATTTGGAGAATAAATGGAGAAATGGTTCCGCTTGGGAAAAATCCATGCCACGTCCCGTTAGGGTGATTTATTGGGCCTTTATCTCTCCAACGAGATTCCTACGCGGAACATTGCAGAGCTATTGGCAACGTGTCTGGAGCGAGCACATTTTTCGTTAAGGATGGGCCTGCTGTGTGGGGAGGAACACAGAGGTGTTGTGTCCACTCCTTAACAGAATGATGTCTTTGTTCCAGGGAGGCACGCTGTCCCGTCCCCGACACCACC